CCCCCCCCCCCCCCCCCGGAGGATTGTGGGAATGGCGCTGGCAGGGAAGTGCGGGCGAACTGGACCCCCGGATCCCTGCGGGCCGTGGACAGGAGCAGGAGGGAGCACGTTTTCTCCCTTTCCTTCCCTCCGCCCTGTCTTCCCAGGCTTCTCATTCCTCAAAGCTGTCGAGGCGGGGCCGAAGGACTTGTGGCGATCAAACGGTGACCGTTTGAGAACGGTCTGGAAATGTTTGTTTTACTAACGCCAGTATAATTCGGGCTTTGTCGCCGTCTCCGCCAGCTCCCTCTCTCTCCCTCTCTCTCCTGCGGTTCCTTATCTGGATAACCGTCAGCCTTACAGCTCCCGACAGTTCGTTATTGGAAGCCGAGCTTAATCTCGTTAAGGCTGACTTGATTACCTCCCTCGCTCCCCTCCCCACCAGAGTGCAGCCTGTCATGTATAGTGTGTGTGAGATGGTGGGGATTAGTCAGGGGGTGAGGAGCTGAGCATCTCATCTCGTCGTCCTCCCTCCTCTCTCCTCTGCTGACTCACGGAATCGCGGCCCATCGGCAAGCGCCCCCCTCCCCGCCCTGGGAATCTGCGGTCTTTATCTGTCAATTCCTCCTCGCGCACAATCGCCCAGACAGAGAGGCAGGGAGGATGGCCTCTGGAGATGGCCGCTCTCGGCAGAAGCTCTTCTGCACGGGCGGATCGGTGCCGGCGATAAAAGCATTTCAGCGCCTGGAAATAGCCGCAGCCTGAAAGTCCCCCCCCCCCCCTGCCGTTGTCCGCTGCCCCTGAATACTGCGCCAGATTGTGTCACCCCGTAATACTGGGCACAGCCCCAAAACGTGTCTGAAATATCGCCCCGTAAAACGCTACGAAATTTCTCCTTGGTGTGTATCATCCCAGGACATGTCGTCCGATCTCGTGCGATGTGTAAGGATCCCTCTCGGACGTTCCTGTTTGTACCCGTTCCCGATCAGAAAGGGGGGGGTCTGTGGGCTGTGCGCGTGTGGCTTTCGGGGTTTGCTTGTTCAGTGCCCGCGTTAGCAGCTGAGGAACGTCCGGCTCAGCGCCGGGGTTTACTTCGGTTTCAGCACAGAGGTTTCGGTCGCTGAGGGGGACTGATGGGGATAGGTAGCTGGACGTCATGGCTGGTTGGGCAGGTGATGCAGGGCAAGCGATTCTGGGCAGTGCAAGTGATGCAGGGCAAGTGATTGTGGTCAGGGCAGGTGATGCAGGGCAGGGCAGGTGATTGCGGGCAGGTGATTGTGGTCAGGGCAGGTGATGCAGGGCCGGGCAGGTGATGCAGGGCAGGTGATTGTGGTCAGGGCAGGTGATGCAGGGCAGGCGATCACGGCCGGTCACGGCGGGGGGTGGAGGCAGGCTCCGTCTCCTCACCTGTACACCAGCGTCTCGTCCACGGTGCAGTTGTACTGGATCTGGTACATCCACACCAGGTAGGAGGAGGACTTCCCGACGTACCAGCGCACCTCGGCCGAGGTCGAGGTCACGTCCATCACCCCCACCAGCCGCTCCGGCAGCCGGGCGCCGCCCTCGGGCCCCGTGCCGTTCCCACCGCCGCCGCCCTGGACCCCCCCGGTCTTGGCCGAGGTGGTGATGTCGGAGGAGCCGGGGTCCCGGTGGAGGACGGGGGCGGTGCCGTTGGCCCGGTGCGGCAGGGGGATGATCTTCAGGTCCACCAGGGCGGTGGACTCGCCGGCCGCGTTGATGGCGATGCAGGTGTAGGCCCCGTCGTCGCGCACCGACGTCACCAGGATGTCCAGGGTGCCGTTGCGGTAGGAGGCCAGGCGGGAGGAGTTGGAGATGATGCGGTCGTCCGGGGAGACCCAGTGCATCATGGGCTCGGGGTCGCCGATGGCCCGGCACCGCAGCGTGGCCCGCTGGCCCTCCAGCACCCAGAGCTTGTGCGTGCGCCGCGTGATGAGGGGCGGCTCGCAGGTGAACTCCTCCTCGGGGATGGACCAGAAGTAGCGGCCGGCCAGGTGCGGCGGCGTGGCGCAGGTCTCCATGTCGTCCTCGCGCGCCAGCCGGCGGAGCCAGAGCAGCTCGCAGTTGCAGTGCAGGGGGTTGCCGCCGAAGTTGAGGCTGACGACGGCGTTGTAGGGCGTGGGGCTGACCACCCCCGTCTGCGAGCGGGCGAAGAGGGGGTCCGGGGGCAGCGTCTGCAGGCGGTTGGAGGTCATGTCCAGGCGGGCCAGCTTGTAGAGCTCGGCGAAGGAGCCCTCCATGACGTGGTCGATGAGGTTGTGGTCCAGGTTGAGGGTGTGCAGGCTGGCCATGCTCTGGATGGCCTCCCAGGGCACCTTGCGCAGGTTGTTGTAGGACAGGTCCAGGTCCTCCAGCGTGAGCAGGAAGTCGTCGAAGGCGCGGGCCGAGATGTCGGTCAGCTGGTTGCCGTTGAGGATGAGGTGCTGCAGGTTGAGCAGGCCCCGCAGGTCCTGGGCGCGGACCTCCGTGAGCCGGTTGGCGTCCAGGTGCAGCGAGCGCAGGCTCTCCAGGTCGGCGAAGGCCAGCGGCCGGATCAGGTGGATGGTGTTGCGGGACAGCGTCAGGTCCACCAGGCCGCTCATGTTCAGGAAGTCCTCCTGCCCCACCTCGCGGATGAAGTTGTCGGCCAGCCGCAGCTCCACGGTGCGCCGGTCGATGTTGGGGGGCACGAACAGGAGCCCCTTGTTGGCGCACAGGGTGCTGAGCGACTCCGACAGGTTCTGGCACACGCAGTGGAACGGGCACGCCGCCGAGGGGCCCGGCGCTGGCGCCAGCAGCAGGAGCAGGAGCAGGAGGGCCGTGCCGGCGGGCGCCAGCAGGGGGCGCCGCATGGTGATCAAGAATCGCCAGACCTGGGGGAACACGGGGGGAGAGAGAGAGGGAGGGGTTAATACGGGCAGGCTGGGGGCGGCAGGGCGCTACAGTCGAGAAACGCTCAGCCTGGATCGCAGATCGCGGGGACGAAGCCGGACAGATGCCTGAGGAGTCGGCCGGCGGAGCCGTGTGTGGGGGGGGGGGGAGAACGAGGGATCGAGCAGGGAATCTCCGGCGCCCGGCGTTGGATTGCGTGCAAGAGTCCGGCGACCGGCGCCACCTGGGATGGGTCAGACTGGGAGAGCAGAAGCAGGAGAGCCCCAGAGAGCGACTCGGACAGACGCCAAACCCTGGGTGACCATAGTCCAGACCCCCCTGCTCTGGGGTCCGTCCAGGGCGAGGTGGGATCTGTGTTCACGGACGTTGCGACGGAAGCTAATATCCTGCTCTGTTATAAGCAGGCTGGAAGTCGGTGGTTTTCCCTTTAAAAAAACAGTACCGTTGTTTCATTAATTCATTCATTCATTTCTTCCTTCAGCGCCTTCAGCAAATTTGACAGCTGACGCGAACCCGTTTACAGGCGTTAATGTGAGACTGCAAGCGTTTTCTTTCACTCCGGGGTTCGGAAGAGAGACGCCGGCACTGAACCTCGTGCCGGCTTCCTCCTGCCCACCACAGTCTGGACAGAGACAGGGGACACTGAGCCCTGGGGAGCAGGGAGATTGGGGTACCCCCCCACACACACACACACACACACAGGACCCTGGGGGTCCCCTACCACTGGACAGAGCCAGGCGGCACTGAGCCGTGGGGAGCAGGGACCCTAGGGCCCTCGACATCCTGTTTTCTCCCCTCTTTCTTGAGCACCTCTCCGGTCTGCGGTGCTGAGCCTCCTTTCCCACAACACCAAGTCGGCCGCCGGCGCCGCCGCTTCCTCTAGCGCGTCGTTAACATGCAAATGCGGGATCCCTGAGCCCAGCGAGACAGGCGCCTCATCAGCCCTGAGTGACGGTGCGCAGCGCTCTCGTCTCGGCGCGCCCGCGGGGCTGCCTGCGCTAGTTTCTCGTTGTCTGGTGCACACTTTTTCATTTTTTTTTCTTTTTTCATCTGGTGCAAGTCCGGGGGGCCCAAACCCCTTGGGGGTGCCGAAACTTGGGGCACGGGGAAGCCTCAGCTGTCCCCCCAGAGTACAAAAAAAAGGGCTACAGACAAGCACCCCGAAAGAACAGTTTTACTGATTGAGCCTGATGGGATATCCCGTTGCCCCGACCACGACTGGTCTTAAAAGCCCTCGCGTGCGTTTTCCCGGTTTTTAACACTCGACCTCCCGGCATTCCGCGTTTCCCGGGGCGCTGGGCTGTCCCCACCCCACCGCTTCACCCTGGGAATCGGTCAGGAAGGTCACCAGGAACGTTCTGTGGCCCCGGCCGGTGCGCAGACCCCCTTTTCCCAGCCCGGCTGCTTCGGGAGACCGGGAATGCAGCAGAGCGCGATCCGCGGTGTCCGTTCCGGAGAAACTCGACCCCAGCCCTGCGGCCAGCCCGAAGACAGCTGTCTCCGGGCCTATCGATCACGCAGGGCGATCGATATCGGGGGGCCGAGGAGGAGAGGACTCGAGTTGCCTCTCTCCTCCTGCCCTCTTCCCTCTCTCCTGTCAAACCCCTCCTCCACCATCCTTCCTTCCCTGGGTACACCAGCATGTCCCAAGACAGGCTGTTAAGATCCCAGCTCCCAGTCCTGAGCTCTCTACTTATATCGAGAATAGTTTTGTGCTCACAGGTCACTATTAAAGTTGCTTTAAAATCGGTAGTGAAAAGGCAGCTTCTTCACGAGCTCAGTGATTTAAAGAGCTCATCCAGCAGGTGGGGGGGGGGTCCCCAGAATCGTTCCATTTCCCCATCCGGCCCGAGCCTCTGTCTCTGCCGGCGGGGGGGGGTGAGACATGTGCCTTCAACGGCAAATCCCTTATTTATGAGACGTGCTTAATGGCGTTCGATGATCTGTACTTATTTGTCATCGATGCCTCCTCCAGGGCTATCGATCGCTCTTGGGTTACAGGCGCTGGTCGTCCCAGTTAATTTTATTCAAGATGGGGCCGATACATTACAGGCGTCGGAATCGACAAAACGGCAAGTGTTCTGCAGGCGTGTACGGAGCTGCGAAATGCACCTTTTGCCGCCTGCGCCTGAGGGCTCTTGACTGGTTGAAGCGCCGCTTGAGTTAAATTGAAATCAATGCCCGTTTTGCCTGCGATAGTCCTTGCAGGCTGGAGCTCCCGGAGACGCAGGCTGGGCCCTGCTCTGCTCCTGGACTCCCCCTCTGTGCGGCGAGCTCGGCTGCAGACTCGTTCGGCCCGTCTAGGGATGGTGAAGCGCCCCTGTTCCGCCCTGAGCAGCTCTGTTTCTGAGACCAGGGGTCAGTGCTGCAGTGCCCTGCCAGAGACATCCCAGACAAGCTCCGAACACCCTCAGCCGGGGGGGGGGAGGGTAGCGAGTTTCCATCATACTGTTGATCTTCGTTTTTTTTTCCCCAATGTTTTTTGCGCATTATGGGGAAAAAAGGCACCTGTACCCTTGGACTTGACCCTTAAAAACCCATTTGGGGTGCTTTGTCTTTCCTGCTCTTTGTCTCCGTCATGAACCGTTGTCCGTTTAGATCTGCATCGCTGCTTCTGGGAAATATTGCCTGAGGGGGTGAAAATGTGCAGGGGTTGCTTGTTTAGGCTGTGAGCAGGGACTCGTGCAGTTGGACCGCGGAACTGAACTGTTTTTGCAGACGCGCACATTCGTGGTCAGGCCGTAGGATTGATCTGCGTTTTCCCGGGCAGCCCTGCGTTCACCTCCACTTCTCCTGCTAAACCAACCAGCCAGGCCTGTCTCCTTATTTCTCCCAGTGCAGGGAGCCGGACGCTCCTCGTCCTGGCTGGGCCATCAGACAGTAGATTAACTGGGCCCTGCCCCAGACAGTCCCCAGTGAGCTGTGCTGTGAGAGAAACAGCCCTGGTCTCTCATCATTCAGTTCGCACACTGACCCAGTCAGGTGCTGTGCCGGCCGGTTTGTCCATGAAGGTCCGGTCTTGTTAGACTGGGAGGACAGCTGGTCTGGTGGTTCAGGTCCGGTCCTGTTAGACCGGGAGGCCAGCTGGTCTGGTGGTTCAGGTCCGGTCCTGTTAGACCGGGAGGCCAGCTGGTCTGGTGGTTCAGGTCCGGTCCTGTTAGACCGGGAGGCCAGCTGGTCTGGTGGTTCAGGTCCGGTCCTGTTAGACCGGGAGGCCAGCTGGTCTGGTGGTTCAGGTCCGGTCCTGTTAGACCGGGAGGACAGCTGGTCCAGCTGGTTCAGTTTCAACCTTTATCGGTATCCTTGTCTTTTAAGTTGCTTAGGGTGAGAGTCTTCCAGTTTATATAGTTTGCTGCTAGTACTGGACTGAAAGAATGCTGTGTGACTGAACATTTTGAGCTAGCCTGTGAGATTCTAACTGGACAGTGACCACACCTCAGGATGCTGGGATTGTCAGCATCTGTTCTACATGGTCCCTGTCTTCCTTCACCTCACAGCGTTCTGTACAGTCCTTGTGCTGCACTATTACTGCGGTGTGTTCTGTACAGTCCTTGTGTTGCACTATTACTGCGGTGTGTTCTCCACAGTCCTTGTGTTGCACTACTACTGCATTCTGTAGTCCTTGTGTCGCACTATTACTGTGGTGTGTTCTGCACAGTCTTCGCGTCGCACTATTACTGTGGTGTGTTCTGCACAGTCCTCTTGTTGCACTATTACTCTGTGGTGTGTTCTGTACAGTCCTTGTGCTGCACTATTACTGTGCTCTGCTGTACTGCGGGTGGTTGCACTATTACTGTGCTCTGCTGTACTGCAGTTCGCTTCTAAAAATAGTCACCCCTGGGGCTGGGGGAGGAGGGGGCTCAATCAGAGGTTCCTCGTAGAGGGGGTACGGGGCAGGTGGACCCAGCGGTGTGTCACTGGGCACGCAGGGCAAAGGGCACCTCAGGATTCTGGCTTGTGCGGTTTCATCCGGGGGTCTGGAGCCGTTTTGCGGGCGATGAGCTTGAGGGCAGGACGGCGACAGAGCGGGGTGTTTGGCGGTCTCTCTGGGGGTGGGGTGGGGTTTGTAAACCCGTTCCAGGAGGGGTGTGATCTTGGCGTAGACGTATCTGGTGTGTAGCAGGTCAGCAGCTCAGGAGCGCGAGAGCCGGGTCCAGGCGGGCCAGCGAGTTAACTGACCGCTGGGTTCCCGAGGGGCCGGAGCAGGATAAGACTGGGGTAACCCGGGCTGCTCGAGCCCTCAGACGGGTTTATCACCCCCCACTCCTCTCTCTTTACCCCACTCTGGTCTCACCTCTCTGTCTGTACCTCAGTGCTCTCTCTCCTCACTCCCCTTTCTCCACACCCCACTCCTCTCTCTCATCCCTCACTCTTCTCTCCTCTCCGTGTCTGTACCCCACTCCTCTCTCTCTGTCTACCCCACTGTGGTCTCTCCTCTCCGTGTCTGTACCCCACTCCTCTGTCTCTCTCTCTCTGTCTCTCTCTCTCTGGTCTCTCTCTCTCTCTCTCCCACCTCAAACAGAAGCAGCTGGGCCCTGCAGTCCTGCTCCTGCTGCTAGATTTACTTCATATCTCCCACCGGGCTTTGCCAGCGCTGCCTTGGTTGTACCACCCCACCCCCCCTGCCACTGCCCCAGTCTGGTGCTGTCAAGGCCCTTATTCCTCACCAGTCTCTCCCCCGGCTCGGGTGCGTGACGCTGGGCGCGGGCACGGGCGTGGGCAGCCTCAAGCCCTTGACCTTCACGAGCGCTGGATTGACCGCGGGGCCCGGCAACGTGTCGAGTGTTTTCCAGCAGCTCAGTTCACTGAACGGGAGACCGCGTGACTGGTGTGGGGGGGTAGCTTGTTCCACGCCCCCGCCACCCCTTGGGGCAAAGCAGCGCCTTCCGTTTCTGGGTTTCGCATGCACCTCCGTGGCCTGGTGAGGGCTCGAAAGAGCTCGTTTTGTTTGTTTTGGTTTGTAAGACGAAGGCCTTTGCCGGTTCTGGGAAGTGAGCCGCAGGGACCCGTGACGGCCGGAGTGCGTTTCAAGGTTGAGCCTGGCTGGGGCAGCGTGGCGGCGCAGTGAGGAACGAGCCCAGGGCTGCTGACAGTGCTGCTGCTGCCTGGGCTGCGGTTCTGGAGAGCTGGGGGTCGGCTCTGGGGCAACTGGGGACCATGCAGCCTCAGCTCTGTCCTCGGACCCTGGAAAATGGGCGCAGGGTTGTTTCCCCGATAATCTCCTGGTCTTTTCTAGTCAGTACCGTGTTCTTTGCTACATCATCCTGTCCCAAGGTGCTCTTGCCCCAGTACTGGACTGTGCTTTTACCCTGATCTCGCTGGGCTTTACTGCGCTGGACTGTGCTTTTACCCTGATCTCGCTGGGCTTTACCACACTGCACTGGGTTTTTTGCCTTGATTGTACTCACGAGTCTTTGCAGTTACTGCTAGCACTGTGTTCAGTATCCCAGCATCCTTCAGTGTCTTGACTGGTTTTTGGAAATTGGGGATCATGATTAGTAATTACCTGCTCATGGTGGCTTTAACAGCAGCTGTGCCTGGGGTGTGTGCGTGTGTTCAAGCTCGGGTCTCATGCGAGAGTCAGTCACACGTGGTCCATAGGTGGAGAGCAAGTGCCTTTTGTGTGTGCGTGTGCTTGGGAGGCTCAGTGTGTGTGCGTGTGCGCCCATACACGCGTGGCTGTGTGTGTGTACGCACAATAGCTCGAAACAGATCTGGACTCCGCGCCTGTCTGATTTTTTTCTCTGCCTTGTGAAGCTGCAGCTGTTAGACGGGGAGCACACACACACACACACACACACACACACACACACACACACACACAGTGCCAACAGCCTCTTGGTACCGGGCGATCACGGTCCTAAGCAAGCCCCGCTCTCTAAAGAAGAGCCCCAGGGGTTGAAAATAAATGCCCACGCGCTCCGAGAAAAGAGGGGGTGAGGAGAGGGGCCCCAGGGGCTCTGTGCAGGCGCGCCAGCCGAGCTCACAGTGTGGTTCATAAGGCAGCGATCCTCTGGACCTGCAGAGGCGCTATATGTAAGAGACGAGCTTGATGCACCCCATGCACATCGATGCGTTCACACCCACAGTGGTGTGGTCAGTGGGCACGCCAGGTGTGTGCGCAGGGTCTCACCCTGGTCTCTCCAGGAGGCACTCTGAGCAGGACGAGCACAGGGCAGCTGTGTCTGCTCCTCGGCTCACCCCAGCCTGCCCCCCCCCTACATGAGCGGCGTTGTCAGCGGGTGGACTGGACACCCAGGGGAGACGTGGTCACTGTACCTTTCTGTGCCCCTGTGGCCGACGATCACCTGGTCATCCTGGTCAGCCGGTCAGCCCGGTCGGCCGCCCCCTTCTCCCCTCCGTGAACGGGCTCCGAACGGGACTGGGGGGGGGTGTGCCGGACGAGGCCAGGAACGCAGGGCGCGAAACCTCGGTCCGGAGCGTAGTTCCGAAATCCGTTCGCTCTCTCCCCCCACCCCCCCGGCCGGCGTGGGCGGGGGGCGACGATCGCGGCGAGGCACGGGGAAGCGTTTGTATTCCAGGGAAGCTCCGGGGACGCGGGAGAGATTCCGACCGGGGGGGGATCGGTTTTGGCCAAGCTCCTCTCCGGCAGGCAGGAAAGATCCGGTTCTTTTAAAACCTTGTCGCCGTTCAAATCCTTGCTGCCGGAATCCGCTCCGCGTGGCTTTTCCCCATTCCTTCCTTCCCGGAGAGAGAGGGGGGACTGGTGCCGATTCCGCTCCCCCTCCGCCCTCCGGGGCTCCGAAGTAATCCTCCAGGAAAAATCACAAGGAAACAGCCCCCACAAGGAGAAATCCAGCTGCGATCCCTGCGGGGAGACGGGACCGATCTTCCCGGCGGAAGGGGCCGGGAACTCGGAGATATCCACACGGGGGGGGAGAGGGGGTCGGGGGGAGGCAGTCCGATTCCGGCGCTGGCTGTGTCCTGTATTCCCGGGAGTTTGCCCGTGCAGCTTCTCCTAAAGATCCGGCCTGCGGTCCGTGGCCCCCCGAGAGGACCCCTCAGTCGACCTGTGTGCCCCCCGGCCGGTGCTCGCCGGCGCCTGGCGTGTCCCGGGTGGCGCGGGCAACTCGCCGACGAGCTCCCCGCCTCCTCGCTCCCGGTCCGGACCGTCAGTCGGCCCTCCCCTCCTTCCTGGGGTGGGGTGGGGGGGGAGAGAGGAACCTCACCCCTCTCCCCCGAAAGGCGGGCACCCCGTCATCCCCAGGCGGGCGAGGGATCGCAGGCTGGTGTCGTCGGGTACCGCCGCCCTGTCCCCGAGCCGGGCGGTTCAGAGCCGGAAAGCAGCCGGGAGAAAGGAGCGCTCCGCTGTGGGCTGCCTCGCCATCTCTCTCTCTCTCT